TAATGCACTGAGGCTTATGATAGATAATTTTCTTACCTATTCCTCTGTTTTGGACATTTGGGTTGTTTCTAGGATATTTATATATAAATTATTCAGTGAAGTGTTTTGATGAAGATTCTTTTCATAAGAGAAATTTTTTTTTTAAAGAATATATTTTTATTGATTTCAGAGAGAAAAGGAGAGGGCAAGATAGATAGAAACATCAATGATGAGAGAAAATCATTGATCGGCTGCCTCCTGCACACCCCCTACTGGGGATTGAGCCTGCAACCTGGGCATGTGCCCTTGACTGGAATCGAACCCAGGACCCTTCAGTCCCCAGGTCAACGCTCTATCCACTGAGCCAAACCAGCTAGGGCAAGAGAAATTTTATGAGTAAGAAATACCATAGGTCAAGCAGTATCATATTTGTTTTGGCCATATTTGTTTTGTGTGTCTTGTGATATAGATAGTCCATTTGTTTTCAAAGTTTTTGTGTTTTTTTAAAATGCTGTTAGCATTGTGGGCGTACCATGTCTAGCCCAACCTCATTCATTAGATATTCCCTTTTTAAAGTTTAGTATTTGGAAACGGATAAAGTTTATATAGGTGGGGAAATTGGAGGGCATTTTGGGGGTATATCCCTATACTGCTTCTTCCCAAGATAGTTTCCCAATAGCTCTCCTCTCTTCTCTCCCATTTCTAGAACTCTTATTCTCAACTCCCCAGCCTCTTTTCTGAGAATTTTCCTCCCTATGGCTCTTGCCTGAGGCATTTACTACCCTCTTGCCTTCTCCAGAGAAGACTGTGCATCCTATGTGCCCTACATATTTCATTAGGGGGAAAGGGGAACCCTCATTCCCAAATGCTATTCCAGACAATTGTCCTTTCTCTTGGTAAAAACTTGTCCTTTGAGGCTTCTGCTGTCTGATTCTCCCACTCACCCTCACCAAGTTCATTGGCACCTCATAGCGCTCCTGTGAACCCCAAGTCCTTCACCATCGTGATGAACTCAGGTATTCAAACCAAAAGCCAGGGTCTCATCCTTTAATGTCCCCCCCCCGCCCCCGCCACGTCCAATTAATTACCACATCCCATCAAGTCTACCTAATCTTTCTGATCCATCTACTTCTCTCTATTTCACTGCCTCTACTTTAATTCAAGGTCCTATTACTTTGGGCCTTACGTTACTGGAACAGTCTCCTGTCTTCATTTACTCATTAAAACATTATTTAGGCCCTAACCGGTTTGACTCAGTGGATAGAGTGTCGGCCTGTGGACTGAAGGGTCCCAGGTTCGATTCCAGTCAAGGGCATGTACCTTGGTTGCGGGCACATCCCCAGTGGGGAGTGTGCAAGAGGCAGTTGATAGATGTTTCTCTCTCATCGATGTTTCTAACTCTCTATCCCTCTCCCCTCCTCTCTGTAAAAAATCAATAAAATATATTTTAAAAAAATAAAAATAAAATATTATTTAGCCCGGCCTACAGAGCTCAGTGGTTGAGTGTCGACCTATGAACCAGGAGGTCATGATTTGATTCCCAGTCAGGGCACGTGCCAGGTTGCGGGCTTGTTCCTCAGTGTGGGCCGTGCAGGAGGCAGCTGATCAATGATTCTCTCTCACATTGTTGATGTTTTTATCTCTGCCTCTCCCTTCCTCTCTGAAATCAATAAAAATATATTTTAAAAACACACAAAAAATATTATTTAACCCTGGCCAGTGTAGCTCAGTTGGTGGGAACCTGCACCAAAAGATTGCAGGTTCAGTTCCTAGTCAGGGCACTTATCTAGGTTGCGGGTTCGATTCCCCATCGGGGCATGTATGGGAGGCAACCTATCAATGTTTCTCTCTCCTCTCTCTCTCTCTCTCTCTCTCTCTCTCCTCTCTTCGCTCCTTCCCCCCTCTCTAACATCAATAAGCATGTACTCGGGTGAAGATTAAAAAACAAAACATTTAAAATACTTGGTGTTGGAGAACAGTAGCGAGCAAGACAGACATGGTTCCTGCCTTCTCAGATAGGTACAAGGCAGAGTAAGGAGCACAGAGGGCAATAGGAACACGGAACAGGGCACCTTGCTCAGGTTGAGGGTTTAGGGAAGGCTTCCCAGTGGAAGAAGCATCTAAGAGACCTGAAGGAAGACTAGGATTCAACCAGAAGTTGGGGGAGGTGAAAGAAGAGTATTATAGACTTAGACACTAGTATGCGTGAAAGCCTGCAGGTCAAGAGTATGGTGAGTTGGTACCTTCTGAGAACAGTAGGATGTAGAGATTTTTAAGGAGTGAGCACAGAGAGGTGAGCCATGAGAGGTGGATAGGGAAGCTTTGTAAAGAGGGGTTTTATACTGAGGGTTATGAAGAGTCACTGGAACATTTTAAGAAGGTGACGTTGTACAGAATTCCAACTTAACAAGGTCTGCAGGGCCTTGATGTGGCCGTGGTGTGGAAAGGAGAATGGATGGGTAGATTGGAGTGTGAGGGTACAGGGAGGCCTGGAGAACATGTCGGGTTTTGCAGAAATGCTAGCAAGAAGGCAGTGGCTCCATGTGGCATGACGGGAAGTGGACAGATGCAAGAGAACTCCGGGAGGTGGAACTGGCAAAATATGACACGGGGCTGGACCAAGAGTGAAAAGGCAGAAAAGAGGAGGAGGAGGAGTTGTCATTCAGGCTGGTGCTGATTTCAGGCTTGGAAATTGGCTGTGGAGCCCAGGAGGAGCAGCAGGCTTGAAGGTGGCAGGTTTGAGGTACCTGTGGGATAGCCAAGTGGAGCTTTCTACCAGGCAGTTGGATATATGGGTTCAGAGTAGAGAAGTGGAAACTGAAGTCATGGCTGGATGACATCACCCAAAGTTAAGCAAATAACTAACAAAGGACTGGTCCAGATGATTTAAAGATTGCCTTCAAATCAGTAAGAAAACGACAAAAGCCTAGTAGAAAAGTGAACAAAAATTATGAAAAGGCATACTTAAATTGTTAGTAAACAGATAAATGCCTCAAAAAACCCCACGTAGATACATGTCTAACCTCAGTAGTATGAAGGAAACGCAAATGTATACCATTTCACAGCCTTCAAACTGAGAAAAATTTAAGTCTGGCAGTATCAGCAGGATGCAGAGCAACAGGCACGCTCATGCAGTCGGTGGAAGAGTGAGTTGGGATGAGCTCTTTGGGGAAAAAATGTGACATTATCTAGCAGAGCTTGCAAAGTACATGCCATTGAGCCCAATAATTTTCCTTGTTAGCAGAAACTGCAGAGACACCCACCCTCTCACATGAGTACCAGAATGTTAAAAAACACACTAGCTAAAAAATGGAAAGACATCGGTGAGTGTCGATAGAAAAGGAGAGATGAGTGAAGTAGTCTACAGCAGTGAAAATGTGTGAATTCGCGCTAAATGTTGTCACCATGGTTAAATCTCACAATCATAAACAGTGTGATATCATTAATATTAAGTTTAAAGGTATGTAGGATAATGCTATACATTGTTTTTTCTTTTTAAAAAAATATTTTTATTGATTTCAGAGAGGGAGGGAGAGGGAGAGAGAGATAGAAACATCAGTGATGAGAGAGAATCATTGATCGGCTGCCTCCTGTATGCCTCCCACTGAGAATTGAGCCTGCGACCCCGGCATGTGCCCTTGACCGGAATTGAACCCAGGACCCTTCAGTCCATAGGCCGACACTCTATCCGCTGAGCCCAACCAGCTAGGGCTACATTGTTTTTTCTTTGTATAAATATATTCCTAAAGAAATTCATGAGAATGGTACATTCAGGATAGTGTTTACCTCTGAGGGAAGGTTTCATTGGGCTGAAGTTTTAACTGTTTTGTATATTTTATTTCTTAAGCTGGGTGAAACAGTCACAGGTGTTGTTGTTTTTTAATACTTTGCATATTTGAACTGTTTAATTTTTTAATTTTTATTTTTTGTTAACCCTCTCCGTTGATTAAAAAAAAACATGTTTTTAGCCCAGCTGGTGTGGCTCAGTGGTTGAGCATCAACCTATGTTTTTATTGATTTTTAGAGAGAGAGAAAGGGAGAGGGATAGAGAGATAGACACATCAATGGGAGAGGAGCATCATTGGTTGGCTGTTTCTATACACCCCCCACTAGGAATCAACCCAGCAACCCAGGCATGTGCCCTGACCAGGAATTGAACTGGTGACCTCTTGGTTTTTGGGTCAACATCCAACTGCTGAGCTACCTCAGCCGGGCCCATTGATTTTTTTAGAGAGCGTTAAAGGGATGCCGAGAGACAGAGAGAAAGAGAGAAACATCGATGTGAGAGAGACACATTGATTGGTTGCCTCCCAAAAGTGGCCTGGCTGCATGAGCCCAGAACTGGGGCCAGGATCAAGCCTACAACCAAGGTACATGCCCTTGACCAGAATCAGACCCGGGACCCTTCAGTCCTCGGGCCAATGCTCTATCCAACTGAACAAAACTGGCTAGGGCTGTTTAATTTTTTAAGGGCTCAAGTGGCACTTAGTAGATGCTTAGTAAATATGTATATCATTGCCCTAGCTGGTTTGGCTGAGTGGATAGAACATCAGCCTGTGAACTGAAGGGTCCCGGGTTCGAGTCTGGCCAAGGGCACATGCCTGGTTGTGAGCTTGATCCCCAGGAGGGGGCATGTAGGAGGCAGCCGATCAATGATTCTCATCATTGATGTTTCTGTCTCTCTCTCCCTCTTCCTTCCTCTCTGAAATCAATAAAAAAATATAAAAGAAATATGCATATCATTGGTTGGTTCTTTGTTGGGATATTATTTATTTTTTTTCTTCTCTGAGTGTTTAAAAAGCAAAAGGATAAATGTGTATGACTTTTGGTGGCCCAATTTGACATTAAAGCATGAGCTGACCTTTGAATGTTGACATAAAGATTCTGTTCTTCATATTGACCCCATCTGCCCTCTCCTGCCTAGTTAAATGATGACACATGGTCTCCCTCTGCCGTAAAACTGCTGGAGGTCCAAGATGCCTCCCTTCCCTGCCAGTGACCTAGGCATTCCATCTGTCCAGGTCCCTGTCCTTCGGATGGTGGAAGGCGACACCATCTACGATTACTGCTGGTATTCTCTGATGTCTTCAAGCCAGCCAGACACCTCCTAGTAAGTGATGACCTTGGCCTCTGCTACTCCCCCCAGCAGTTTCAAGGGGATCCTCTACTGAGAGAGAGTCTAGGGCTACCCAGGGATTCTGGGAGGAGGAAAGCTTGGTGTGCCCTCCAGGTGTGAGCTGAGAGGGCTGGTCAGTTGGCTTCCCAGCCTTCCTTTGACAGCAGCAGGACCTCAGTGCCCTTGTTGTTCTCAGTGTGGCCAGCAGCAGCCGGGAGAACCCAATTCACATCTGGGATGCATTCACTGGAGAGCTCCGGGCTTCCTTTCGCGCCTACAACCACCTGGTAGGGACCTCCCGCCCAGCCTCGCTTGTCCTGGCCCAGCTTTCCTTCCTGGAGGACAGGTGACTTGCTTTACGAGGCCTGTTTCCGGCCCTTTCCTCCTCCCAGGATGAGCTGACGGCAGCCCACTCACTCTGCTTCTCCCCGGACGGCTCCCAGCTCTTCTGTGGCTTCAACCGGACTGTGCGTGTCTTTTCCACGGCCCGGCCCGGCCGTGACTGTGAGGTCCGAGCCACGTTTGGTAAGCATCTGTGCTTCCAAGAGAGGAAGCAAGGAAAGGGCACTGCTGTGTGCAGAGGGGCCTCGTGTGAGCCAGGGGACCACATGTTGGGGGGGGGGGGTGCCACAGCCTCCTCCGTACAGCCCTGGTCAAACCGGTGGGTAAAGGGCTTGTGCTCTCTGAGCCCAGTTCCTGTTGGCTGTGTACCTTTTGGTCTCCAAAATCTTAGTATCGTTAGGAAATTGGAGGTGAAGCTGGTTCTATTTTACTACAAGCCTTCAGCTTTCCATTCCTTCCAGGAAAAACAGATTTGAGAGGGAAGAAGTAGGTCTTAGGCATTTAGGTCCTTTGTGGGGGGCTGGGGGGAACCGAAGGATCTGGGGTCCTCATCCCGCTGTGGCAGATGGAGGGGGGGATACTGAGTCCTGGCACATGGGCTCTGGGACAGGAGACTGAGGTGCACCTCTGATCAGCCTGGTTAATGTCAAGTGCCCTTGCTCGCTCCCCCACTTTGTTCCTCCCCTCTTTAGCAAAAAAGCAGGGCCAGAGCGGCATCATCTCCTGCATAGCCTTCAACCCAGCCCAGCCCCTCTATGCCTGTGGTTCCTATGGCTGTTCCCTGGGCCTATATGCCTGGGATGATGGTTCCCTTCTCGCCTTGCTGGGAGGGCACCGAGGGGGCATCACCCACCTCTGCTTTCACCCCGATGGCAACCGCTTCTTCTCAGGAGCCCGCAAGGTACGAGTCATGTCCTGAGATCCCAAAGGGCAGTAGGCAGGAGTGGGGATGTAGGCTGATATGTTGGGGGATAGGTGTGAGAAAAAAATCAACCCAAGCTAAAGGCGTGCCTGTAAAGCTTGAGGGAAGCAGAGATGTCTGGGTGGTGGGCTCCAGGCCCCTGTTCTATGTCTTCAGGATGCTGAGCTTCTGTGCTGGGATCTCCGGCAGCCTGGTCATCCACTGTGGTCCCTGAATCGTGAGGTGACCACCAATCAGCGCATCTACTTTGATCTGGACCCGTGAGTGACCGTGGGTCCTTCCTTCCCAGGACTCCCGTGCCCCCTGTAACCCAGATTCGAACCCCTGGGTGTGAGGAGTTCCTGCGCTGGGATGATGGCGCCATGCCAGCAAGCCTCTGCTCTCTCCCCAGGACTGGCCAGTTCCTAGTGAGCGGCAGCACGAGCGGGGCTGTCTCTGTGTGGGACACGGGCGAGGCTGGGCATGAGAGGAAACCGGAACCTGTGCTGAGTTTTTTGCCTCAGAAGGACTGCACCAATGGAGTGAGGTCATACCACAGATCTTGGGGCTCGGGTTGGGAGGGAGGTGAATTGCAGAGGGAGCAAGCAGCCGCTCTCGGGGGGTTGACAGACTGCCTGTCTCTCCCTCCAGCCTGCACCCTAGCCTGCCTCTGTTGGCCACTGCCTCCGGTCAGCGTGTGTTTCCAGAGCCCACGGAGAGTGGGGACGAGGAGGAACAGGAGGTGGACCTTCCCCTGCTCTCCATGCGCCACGTCCACCTTGAATGTCAGCTTCAGCTCTGGTGGTGCGGGGGGAGCCCAGACACCAGTATCCCTGATGCTCAACAGGGTGAGAGGGAACAGGGAGGGACAAAAAGAGGTGGGGGTGAGTTTATATAAAAAGGTTTTATATGATTCCAGAATCTCTGTGTCTGCTTTGGGAGGCAAATGATGGAGAGGGGGGGGTGGGTGGGAGGGTTATTAGTGGGCTCCCTAGTCCAGCAGCAGTGGGGATTGGCATATTGTTCCTAAAACCAGGGCTGAGAGGTGGTACTAGGCAGGAGCCAATGGGACTACTGAGCTTGGTGTGAAGTCAAGTAGTGGGGGTGGGGCTTCATGCCATTGACTGGTTGGTTGCTAGGCAACTTGATAAACTGAAGGGGGGGAACCTGTTTGAAATCTCACTCCCAAGGTGGGGTGGCAGGGGTCACAGTGAGCGTGGCTGAGCAGGAGTGGCAGGAACTGTGTCAGACTGCTGGGCGTGACTGTGTGAGACTGTGCAGCTGGTGACAGACAAGACACCCGCTCTCCCTTGCTCAACACTAGTTACCCTCATCCAGCAGCAGAGGGACCATTACTCAGCTCTGGGAGAAGGGGAGCAGAAGCACCCCCCTCCCCTCCCCTGGACTCCCCCAGGAGGCCCTGACTGAGTAGCCAGAGTCAAGGACACATGAGAAGAGTACAGGTGCTCGAAGACACAGACGTCACAGTCTGTGTTCCCGTTAGATGCAGGACAAGGGTGACAGTCTTGTTCAGCAGTTACTGCTGTTTCTCCATTGATCTGGCCTGCCTTTGAGGGGGGCAGTATGTTATTTCAAGCAGCAGCACCCCCCCCCCCCCCACCTTGCCAAACACTGAGAAGAGGAGCTATGAAGGGTTACTGTCAGTAGGAATCTCAAGAGACTGTCAGTAGGGGGTTGATTTTGGACCCAAAATCAAAGGGAAGAGACTGAAGGCCTGTAACCGCTCGAAAGGGGAGAGGAATGTCACCTCTGCCCAGAGGTGCTGAAAGCTAGGGTTCTTACACACAAGCAGGCAACCCCCGCCCTTCCCCCAGGATAATTGGAAACAGCCCTTCCAGCTGAATGTGAGTGTGGGGCTGTAGGTACTCCCTTTCCTCTCCCAGCCCATGTCTCCCCATAACCATCCAAGGAGGGCCCACGTTTACCCCCTCATCTCTTGCTTTTCACCAACCCCTAGATAAGAGTACAGGGTACTGGAGGCGATGACAAAAGAGACCCCAGGGGTGGGAGTTCAGCAACTTGGGTTTGGTTCCTAGACACCCGGTGACCTTGGGCTAGTCCGGGGCCTCCCGAGCCTCAGTTTCTTCATCCCTGCAATGGGGATCCTTTAGCGCTGCCCCCCACCTCACACAGGTGGTCGTGGTGCTCACTCAGGCCACTTGGTAAAGTGGAAGCCTTGAAGGTTATTCTCTCCCGACCTCCCGGGAGCAGCGGTGTTGTTTGGGATGCGGGAGGCGGAGGCTGCGGGAGCGAAAGGGGCTGGGTTCCTGGGGTGGGGAAGGCGAGAGCCTTTCTGAATCTGAGAGATGAAGATTCCTCGCGCTCCAGCGATGCGAGGGCCAGAGGGGAGACGGGCAGAAACTACGCCAGAGACCGGAGTCGGAAAGACAAAGGGGGCGTGAGAGACCGCGCCGCGCCGGGGAGCGGGCGGCCGGCGGGGCTGGGCGAGGCGGCGGGAGGTGCACTGGCCGAGGGAGGTGTGGGGGCGTGGGCTGCGGGATCCTGCCGCCCGCTCCGCCTCGAGCTCCAGCTCCGGTTTTTCCCTCCGCCATCCTCTCCCCCGCCCCGTCTCTCCTTTAACTCCCCCTCCCGGGCTCAGGACTGGTTTCCTCCCTTAGCCCGCTGCCCTCAATCCCGGCGAGGCTGGGGCTCCGGCTCGGCGCCCCCTTCCTCGCTCCCTTGTCCGACGCCCCATGCCACCACCGCCGGGTGCCTGGCTCCCTCAGTCCCCGACTTAGGCCCGCTCTCCAATCCCGGGGTGCTGGTGCCGGGGTTGGGGCGCAGGGAGCTTGCGGACCGCCCCTGGAAGGGCTCTCGAGGGCTGAGCGCTCCGGCGCTGGGCGCGGGCAGAGCAGGAAGCGGGTCCGCGTGGGAGCCCGGGTATCGGCCGCCCGGGAGGTCGGGGCAGAATAGCCTGGACAGCTAAGGCAGTCACCCCAGGGAGTGATCGACTTTGGGGGAGTTGGTGCCCCGCCCCCAGGCCTTGGCGGGGTCATGGGGGCCCCCCATTCTAGGCCGGGGGGTGTGCGAGTCGGGGCCCTGCTGCTGCTCGGTTTTTGGGGGCTGGTGTCTGGGCTCAGCCTGGAGCCTGTCTACTGGAATTCGGCGAATAAGAGGTGAGCGACCCGGGCTGGGGAGACCCTACACCTTCCCAGCAGGGAGTGTGGAAGCCTTGGGGACTTGGGAGCTGAATTCTCTGAGCTGGGAGGACACTGAGGGAGGGTGCTGGTGCTCTGCTGGAAGCTGATGGGTGACTACACTGATGATCTGGGGAGCCAGACTCCTGGGTCGCACACAGAGCTGGGGGTGTGTGGTGATATCCAGGTGTTGGGAGTTTGAAAGACCCCAAAGGGCAAGGATCCGAAAGTTCATGGGGAGCCGGGAGGGCAGTGGAGTGGTTGTGCGGGTTTGTGGGAGACTTGCCTGGTGTCGGGGGCTGGGCTTGGAGGGAGCCTGGTTAGTGTCAGCTCTCAGGAGAGCCGCTGAGTAGGTGCTGCTGAAGCGTTGAAGGGAAAGGCAGGGTGCCTCCCTCCCCAGAAGGGAGTCCAGTGCAGATGGGAGGGCAGGGGGCTCAGTTTGGGGACAACTCCCCAAGGCTTCTTGGCTCTCATCGCACAGTCTGGCTCCCACCTCTTGCCCACAGCTAGACGGTCAGTTAGCCCTTAGCCCTTGGTGCAACAGTTTCCCAACCAGACGATATTCCTGCGTTCTGGCTTCGGGACTTCCTTCTGAAAGAAGCCTGGAGCCCCATCAAGCCGCTTCTTTGCCCCCTGGCATCTGAGGTCCCAAGGAGGTCCCATTGCTCCCTCCCCCATCTTTGCTGCAAACTCTTCCATTAGAGCTCTGTTGCAAGGCATGCTTGCTTTGCTCTGAAAAAAAGCCAGGGGTCAGATGAAACTTCAAGCCACACAGGGTAGAACCCTTGGGAGGTCATCTGGGTCTCTTGCCTCTGCATAGATCTCACTCCCCCTTAGCAAAAGAGTTCCGTGTTTTGAAAATAATCCCTGGGGGAGGCTGCATGAGGCCATGGGAAGAGGTTGGGCTTTGGAGCTCATCAAATCTTAATTTTGTGAGCTGCGTGGCCTTGGGCACTTACTTAACCTCTCTGAGTTTGTATCCTTGATTCTTACAGCTCAGATGAAGATTAGAGGTAAGGGGTTGGAACATATATGCTCATTAAAGGAGAACTAGGATTATTGGCCTTCCTCTCTGTACTTCATTCACAGGCTCCCACATTTCACTATTTGGCCTCCCTCCCATTTCTTTGGGTATAATCTCAGCTGTCCTTTCTCTCTCTCTGTGATAGGAGAGAATCTGGATGATGCTCTAACCAACTGAGCGAACAACTTGAGCTGACCCGGCCAGGGCTCTCACCTGTCTTTTCTTTAGTCAGTCCCTTACCTGTCCACTCCCAGTCGCATTTTATCTGGTGCAGCTTGAAGACATGAGGCTTATTCTAACAGAGTCGAGAAAAGAGAATTGGGGTGTTTTGGAGGCTCTTTGGGATGTTGGGTGGGTCAAATACAGAGCAGCAGTCCCCTGGGATCCAGTTCTGAGACCTGTGTGCCATCACTGAAGAGGGAAGGGCTGCAGGCCGGCTAGTGGTGGCTGTGCTGGGCCAATGGATGCCTGAGCAGAGGGAGATGTGGGCTTGTGTTGGCGGTGGTTAGAAAAGTCAACTCCTTCATTTCCCAAGCAATGGGGCACTTTCCCTAGGAAGTCTGAGACCTGAGGGGAGAGAGGTGCTGAGCAAGGAAATGTTGGGCAGCTGCCCCCCCCCCCCCGCCTCCCTCCCCCCTGGTTCTCATTAGCCCCACTTAGGACCATTGCCAGACCAGGCATTTGCCTCCTGTCACATTGCCTGGTAAACTTGGGGCACTAGTCTTGATCACCCTCTCCCCCCACCCTTTTTTGCTCTGAAATCCCTGAAATTCGGTTGTGGCTTGGGGGAGGGGAGGCTCTGCCCCCATGGTTGACTGCCATAGAATAGTGAAATCACCTGGGAGGGGTGGGCTGTGTGGTTCCAGAGAGGCCAGCTCCTTGGTAACTGGCATCCTGTTGCCAGGGCAACGGAGCTGGTGATGAAGGGAGAGATGGCAGTGTGCATGTGGTGAGGGCAGGCTGAAGAGTGCATTTGGGCAACCAAGGGGCAGGAGACCTCTGAGCCTGGCTTCCTGCTGCTTCCAACGTGAGCTCAGAGTCCTTAGTGCCTGCACGGTCAGAACGGACTTTCTACTCAGACAAAGGCTGACCTGCAGGGATGTGGGACGAGGGAGGTGAAGCTCTGGGCCAGACCTCTGATACCTCTCCCCTTGTCCACCTCAACCTCCTCCCCATAGGTTCCAGGCAGAGGGTGGTTATGTGCTCTACCCTCAGATTGGGGACCGGCTAGACCTGCTTTGTCCCCGGGCCCGGCCTCCTGGCCCCCACTCCTCTCCTAATTATGAGTTCTACAAGCTGTATCTGGTAGGGGGTGCCCAAGGCCGACGCTGTGAGGCACCCCCTGCCCCAAACCTCCTTCTCACTTGTGACCGGCCAGACCTGGATCTCCGCTTCACCATCAAGTTCCAGGAGTATAGCCCTAACCTCTGGGGCCACGAGTTCCGCTCGCACCATGATTACTACATAATTGGTACTGCTGGGCAGAGGGCAGGGTTGAGTGGGGAGGTGCTCCCGGGATGGAGGGCAGATGAGGGAGGGGACCAGCAGAGCCAAGAGTGACCCCTTAAGCCCTGGGGTGGTGGTGGGGCCAGGACATGGAGACAGAATTGGGGTTAGACTCTCGAATGCCAACTCATCCCTGTGGATCTTCTCTCCCAGCCACGTCAGATGGGACCCGGGAAGGCCTGGAGAGCCTGCAGGGGGGTGTGTGCCTTACCAGAGGCATGAAGGTTCTTCTCCGAGTGGGACAGAGTGAGTGGGGCTGGGGCGCCTCCTGGGAGCTGAGGAAGGTTGGGGCAGTGCCGTCATGGTCAGCACCCCTTTCTCTTTGGCCTTTGCTATCTCCAGGTCCCCGAGGAGGGGCTGCTCCTCGAAAGCCTGTGTCGGAAATGCCCATGGAAAGAGACCGAGGGGCAGCCCACAGCCTACAGCCTGGGAAGGAGAACATGCCAGGTAGGAACGAGGGTCCAGCTCCTCCCTTCCCCAGCCTTCTCCGCTCTTGGATCCCAGCTGCCTTCCCTTCACCCTCTCCCTCCTTCTTTAGATTTTTTTTTTTTTGAAGGGGGTGGGGGGGAAGAGGGGAAGAGAGGATGGGAGGGTGAGAAGGGAATGGAAGCCAAATGAGGAAAAGACTCAATTAGAACTAATTAGCCAAGTCAGCGCTTCAATCAGTGCTGTCAGAGAAGTGGGGAGGACTCTGGCACAGAGCGGAAGGGCTGGACACACCTGGATTCGGAGCTGGGCTTGGAGGGGTGGAGGGGATTTGGGGTCCCCAAGGGGCCTGTGCACTGGAAGCCCATGGGGCCCCCAAGGCTGGCTGCCAGATGCCCAGGTGGCTCCTTCAGCCCCTTCCCCTCTTTCCTCCTTCACCCCTTCCCTGCCAGGTGACCCCACCAGCAATGCAACCTCCCGGGGTGCTGAAGGCCCCCTGCCCCCTCCCAGCATGCCCGCAGTGGCCGGGGCAGCAGGGGGGCTGGCGCTGCTCTTGCTGGGCGTGGCAGGGGCTGGGGGTGCCATGTGTTGGCGGAGACGGCGGGCCAAGCCTTCGGAGAGTCGCCACCCTGGTCCTGGCTCCTTTGGGAGGGGAGGGTCTCTGGGCCTGGGGGGTGGAGGTGGGATGGGACCTAGGGAGGCTGAGCCTGGGGAACTAGGGATAGCTCTTCGGGGCAGTGGGGCTGCAGACCCCCCCTTCTGTCCCCATTATGAGAAGGTGAGTGGTGACTATGGGCATCCTGTGTACATCGTGCAGGATGGGCCCCCCCAGAGCCCTCCGAACATCTACTACAAGGTATGAGGGCTCCGCCCACCTGGCTCTCTCGGATCCAGCCCTTCTTGCGGTGCTCCTCCGTGTAATTCATGGTTGGAGAAACACCTCTGGCATCTCCTTGGCCCCTTTTGCCCCACCAGCCTCTTTACTCCTCCTGGCTGTTGCCCTCTTCTCTACTTGTAGGATTCCTTAAGATTTTCACTGAATCACTTCCTGCCCTGTGGTTGGCCACGTGTGCCCTCTCTGTCTGTGTCCCTGTGTCCTATTCCCTTGGGGAGGAGGCAGAAACCAGCTGCCTCTTCTGATGACCCAGGGATGCTTGCTCCCCATACCCACTGAGAGCCAGGGGCGGGAACAGTCTGTCTTTTGCTTGGCACCTCTTTCTTTCTGCCTCTCACTGTTTTTCTCTTCTCTTCTCTCTCTCTCTCTCGTTCTCTTTCTCTCTTCTGTCTCTAGGTCTGTTCCTCTTCCCTAGCATCCCCCTCCCTACATCTCCTTTTACCCTCTTGGCTTCTTACCCTGTGCCTCTTCCATCTCCTGGGTGGGGGCAATCAAAGCTTTTCTCCCCTCAGCTCCCTCTTCTGACCTCTTGTCAACCACTCCCCTCAATCTGCCAAAAATGGGGGCCTTATGGGGAAAGCTCTGGCAGTCCACCCCAGCTCAGGGCATGGGCAGCAGGGCCTCCTTCTCTGCCCTGCCCCAGGCCTCTGCATACTTAACTCCAGCCATTTGGGGTGGTTGGGTTATGACAGCCTCCATGAGAAGTATCCTGTTTGTCCAGTGGCCAATCACAAGATGCGAACTGGTTGGGACACATATGGACTTGGTCTGATGTTGAATGGGTCACTTGGGACAGGAAGTGATTTGCTCCAGACAAGAAGTGACCAGGCCTGGACAGAAGTGGCCTGGTGAAGTGGCAAAAGCAGTACAGCAGGAACTGGAAGTGCCTTCATCTGGCTGGAACTCAAGTGACTTAATCTGGGGGGTGGGGGGCGGGAGGTGGATGGTTCTCACTCTGTGGAGAAGGGGAGCAGGACAGTCCTTACTGAGGAGGATTTTCCTAGTATGCAGTGGCATTTCCCAGGACCTCCCTTCCTTTGTTCTCTGTGCTACTTCGAAGACAGCTAAGATGACTGCCATCTGCTGTGGTAGGCCCAATTTGTCTTGTTGTTCTTCCCTGTCCACATTTCAGTATAATCTGTCACTCAACAGGACTCCCCCAAGAACCCCTGTGTTGTCCCCCAGTAGCCCAGATGGCTGTCTTGTTCATCACATCCTCCATTTCCTACTCTCTTCAGATTCAACACAGCTCCCTTCTTAGTGACCAGAATGGTGGCCTACTGACTGGTCTAGCTGACAGTGGCACTTAGCAACTGCCACTGTTCCATAGGGACCAGCTTATACCTCTTCCTGCCCTCCAGTACACAAGTGAGTGTTCCCTCAGTTTCCTTCCAGCTCAGTTTCATTAGACCAGAGCTGCCCTTGGGCACCAGTCCGCCACCTCAATCACCAGCCAACATGGTCCACCGGATGTCAAGTCATCGCTCTGCTGTAGTTCCCGGCTCCTTCCTGATTTTTCTAATTGCTCCATCCAGGGAACAGGAAGCTGCTATTGCCATGCCGGAGGTGGCGGGGTATGGCTGTCATCTCAATAGTTTTATTGTAAAAGGGAAATTTGAACAACAAAAACCAAAAAAAGAATAAAAAACTTCAAAAGTTAACAAGGCTGGGAATGACTGGACATGAATTGGAACAGAGAACTAGTGGTTAGAATGGCTTTCAAGCTCATGAAACCAAGGGGAAGGGTAGGGAGAGGGTTGGGTTGGTGGGATGAGGTAGGCAGTGTCTGGGAAGGGGAGAATGGGCGGGGTGAGAAGGCTGAGGAAGGCAGCCACCAAGGGAAGGGAAGCGGGGGTGTGGGGATTGTGGGGGGTGGTGTGTGTGGGGGGGAGAGGAACCCAGGCAGGCGAAGGAGTTGCCCATGCATCTAATGGGGATGTATGTGACTGTGAGTTCCCACATGGGGAAAGCCTGGGTGTCTATTGCTAAACCAAAGCCCGGGACAAGGCAAATCACAGAAACAAAGTGGGAAAACAATGTTCACATTAGTCTGTTCTCCATCATCCCTGCCCAAGGCACCTCTGACGTGGGGCGTTTTACTTTGAGGAGAAGGGGTGTGGCTGCCCAGAAGACTCAAGCTGTCTGTCTCCTGGCTCCCTGTGTACCCACAACCTAGGCTCTTCTCCCCTAAAAAGCCCAGGTGCCCAGCCCCCTAGACTCAGCCCCATTCTCCAATCACAAAAGCAGCCGTCAGGAACTTCGTTGGAGCTGGTTGGCAGGGGTCACAACCTCTGCCCTCCCTACCCCTCCTCTGACTCTAGGTCCTCTCCCGCTGTCTCCCATCTGCCTGGAGGTCAAGGGGTCCTCTTGCCCCTCCTCTGTCCAGTGGGACCCCTGCCCCTTCCCCTGTCTGAGCAAGATGCCTGGATCCTGAGAGGTGCAGGCACTGTTAGGGAAGTTGAAAACTGGGAAGCCAGGTGCTGGGCGGTCGGGAATGTACTCCCTGCCTTCCAAGCCCACACTGGAGCTGCCTAAGGTGGGGAGGCTTGAAGGGGTGTGGAAGGGCTGGTCCCTTGCCCCTTAGTGGGGGTTTGTTGTCATGGCAACATCCCCTTTTTCACACAACGGGAAGCCCCCCTCAGCCTCCCTCGTGGATGGAGCCGACAGCCCCATCGCTGGCTATCAGCCTCAGGGACTTGGCAACCGTCACTATGGCAACCCAGAGCCCAGCAACAGGGCCCAGTGAGAAAGGGAGGGGTCCAAGACTGGGGCAGGGTTGTGTGTGAGAGGGGGCAAGGGAGCTGAGGGAGACTCCCCCTACACATACATCTAGAGACACAGGTGGAGAGACAAAAGGGAAGGGAAGCAGAATAAACCTCCTCTGAGACAAACAAGCACCTCACCAAAACGGCAGAGACATCATAACATGCTGAGAGATAGGAAGACACCTGGGGACAGATGCACAGCTGGAGAGAGAAACAGCAAATTCTACAGAGCACCCGGGGACCCGCCCCCTTGGAGCACTGGTATCTGTAGACTCCCCCCTGCCCCCCAACATGAACACGAGACCTTTAGCCTCCACACGTGTAGTGACTTGTGTGCCTTTGGAGCTACTTGAAAGTGCTGGTGATTTTCCTCCTATGCCATCCTGTTTGCTTTCTGGGTACAAGTACACAAACACTCTCCTAGGGTAGCGATTACAACAAAACGAATAGAAAGGCAGGGAGACATTCATTCGTTCGTTCGTTCATTCACTCAACGTCGTATTAAGTGTCTACTTTGTTCCAAGTCCTGTTTTGGATACTGGGAGTATATATGGTACATAAATCCCTGCTTTCATGAAGTCCGGATTTTGGCGGGGAACAACGTAATAAAATTTCTGGTAGTGATAAATGATGTAAACAAAACAGGATGAAGAGGATGGAGGGTAACAAGATGTTTTAGATCAGGAGGTCAGGAAGGTTTCGCTGAAGAGGTGACATTTAGAAAAATGTTTTTATTGATTTTTACAGAGAGAGGAAGGGAGAGGGATAGAGAGATAGAAACATTGAGGAGAGAGAAACATCCTCAGTTGGCTGCCTCCAGCATGCACCCCTACTGGGGATTGAGCCCGCAACAGGGAATCGAACTGGCTGGCAGCTTGTACTCTGCCTGGGAATCGAACTAATGACCTCTTGGTTCCTGGTCAACGATCAACCACTGAGCCATATGGGCTAGGCTGAAGAGCTGACATTTCATGAGGACCTCGTATAACGTGGAGTCAGGCATGCAGTATGAGGAATGTCATACCCAACAGAGGGAACAGCAAGTGCAAAGCACAGAGGTAAACTCTAGATGCGTTTGGAAATAGGGAGGATGACATCACAACTTCACACGTATTCCAGATGGGTCTTATCCCTCTCCAGCCTCCGCCTGTAGGTCCTTTAGGGTCTAGAACCCACATTTAAGAAGTTGCTCTAACTCAGTCTTCTATCCCCCCCCCCCTTTTGTTTCTTCTGTGTATGTGAGTTGCATTTTCTTCAACTAAATTTTAAGCTCTGGGAGGGCAAGGATGGTGCTCTGAGCTTCTTGGAAGCTGTGGTATGGCTGGTGGTACAGAAGGTTGCAGTATGTGTGTTTGTGAATGTGGTTTATGTTGGGGTTTTGTGTTTATAAAAAAATATATTTTTTTTTTATTGATTTCAGAGAGGAAGGGAGAGGGAGAGATAGAAAACATCAGTGATGAGAGAGAATCATTGATTGGCTGCCTCCTGCACGCCCCTCACTGGGGATCAAGCCCACAACCTGGGCTTGTACCCTGACCAGAATCAAACCGTGACCTCCTGGTTCATAGGTCAATGCTCAACCACTGAGCCATGCCGGCCAGGCTATGTTGGGGTTTTTAAGGAGAATAGAGCAAAGGGTTGCAGTGGGAATTTCTGGTGGGGAATGGTTGACATCATAAACTAGAATTTCAGTGAGAATGAAAAAATGGAGCTTCCTATGGGGCTCCACAGGAAATCACAAGCATGGGCACCCCATTCCCCAGGGAGAGTTTCCCGATCTGTAGACAGGCTGGGAGAAATGTTGCCGGGCGGTTTGAAGGCTGGAGGCTGGCTAGGATGGACTCAGACAGCTAAGTTGGGGGTAGGAAAAAGGATGCCGTACAAATGGGAGTGAAAATTAGGCAGCAGAAGTTTGGAAAGTAGCAGGGAAAGTGAAATCCTGAAGGGAGTTCCATGGGGACCATGTCCCAGGTACCCCTGAGTCCCCCAGGGAATTGAAGCATTTGGGGTACTGGGTCTTCTGCTTGCTTCCCCCAACTGCCATCAGAAACTTAGGCATCAGCTCCCTTCAACCCCAGTGGCTGCTGGTGGTGGGGAGATTGAGCAGCCTCAGGGGGCGGCAGCTGGTGAGTGGGGAGGAATCTGTGTGCTCAGCAAACAGCAGCCTCAGTGCCCAGTGGCTGCCTCCTCCCTCATCAATCAGCCCCAGCCAAATGTCCTTGCATTCCCACCACCCCAAGGGGACTGGGGCTGGGCCAGGGTCCCCAGGGGAGTGAGATGGGGATGGGTCGGGGGAGTTGGGGGGTGGTGCTTGGCTTCCCATCCCTGGGCCTCTATTCTCTCCTCTCCTGGAAGCTCTCAGCTCTTCATGTCATGGAATGACTCTCTCCTGGCTCCTACCATCATGAGGGCATCAGCTACAAATCACCTGTGGGGGTCTGCTGGGAGGGGATAAAGGGGAAGAGGGATGAGTCAGGGATGAAGAGGAATCTACTCTGGTTCTCACGGACCAGCCCAGGGCACAGTCAGCAGGGAGGCTGTTGGCACAGAGGCCGTGTCTATACACCTCCCCCCTTCCCCCCCAGCTAGCCTCTCCATCCCTGACAGATGCTCTGGACAGCAGGCTGTGATCTCCACCCCCAAATGTCCTCTCTTCCCACCTCTCCTAACCCCCAGCCCTCACTCCCTGCTTCCCATCAAGATCCAGAGGTCTGGCCCCCAGCTCACCTCAAATCTGTTGCTCCCCATTGGGGACTGGGGCCTCCAGACCTTAGCCTAGGGCCCACTCTCCCCCTCCTTAGCCCTTGCTCCCCTCAGGGACCCAGGCGTCCTGCCCACTCCCCTCACCATAACAACCATTCTTTTGGAGTTGCTTTAAGACTTTAATATCATTTCATTGTCAGCTAGTTCAGAGAAGGTTGGGGGCACAAAGAGACTGGGGTGGGCAAAAGAGGGCCAAGGTAGGGGGGAAGCAAGGGAAGAACTCCCCTCTCTCCGTGGAGATGGCTCTGAGAAATCAAATATTGACAGTGAGAGAACAGAACTTATTAAAGCTGGGACAGGGGTGTGTGTGGGGAGCTGTGGGAATGGCCGGATGCCTGGGTTCTGAGAGTAATGAAGGTTCTGGGAGGAGGGACCAGGCTGAGGCTGGGAGGATGCAGTAAGACTAAGAGTCCTACTGATACAAGTTTTGCTACCAAGTCTGTTTCTCAGCTGTCCCCTAGAGCCCCTGGGGAGACCCCATCACAGCTGTGGTTGGCCCCACTCCATCCCTTCCCCCTACCTCCACCTCTGTTGATGAGCTTCAGCAGCGTTTAATCGGATTGAGCAGTAATTAGCAAAGTGAAATGTTTGATTACCTATTTAGCATAATGTAGGGGGCTGAGATCCCTAGGCACAGCCAAGGTTGGAGTCAGAAAAGAAATGGGGTCTACACAACGTTCGTTACCCTGAGGGAGCCCTGAGCCCTGCCTATAAGAGGCCCTACCCTAGGCCTTCCCTCTCGTCTTCACTTCTTTGGAACTTCTCCCTGGGGGATCTGACCAATTATGCTACCTCTCTCTGCCACCCCCTGCCTATCTGATTAGAGAAACTCCCACTTAGCCTGGCTTGCTGTGCAGCTGGTTTTGGGGTGTGGCAGGACCCCTCTCTCTTTCAGTCCTTGCTCTCAGTAACAGGAGTTTGGGCTGGGCAGGAGGCCGCAAATCAGAGCCTAAATAAAATGGTAGTGGTGGTGCGTGCCAAGGGCAGGGCCTGTCAATTCTGGAAATAAAGACAGGGTGGGTGGAATGGTGAGGTCAGAGTTGAGTCTGAGTGTGGGCTAATGCACTGGCTCTTCAGGAGTACCAGAGACTGCCACTTCTCTCAGTGCCAGCCTGGCATAACGAGA